GTTGCCAAATAGACTTATTTGCATTTTGACTGAAAAAAAATTATATAGAAATTTCGATTTTGCTTTGTCGAAAAATCCCTACATTTTATTTATATATAAAAATCTGTCCTTCTGCCACGCCCATTTTTTTCGACTTAAATCCYTACGTGTAGGGGATTTTCCCTACATGTACCAACACTGGGATGAAATGTCTCGGCAGTTAAACTTTCAGTGAACCAGGAGAGATACCAGAAACTGATATTAGTCGATTTAACAAATTTGTGATAGGCTCAGAGCTTATTGTTGTTATGTGAGAGTCTTTATGATCCATATACATATATTAGCATTAGGTATCACATATGATCCTTGCTTGCGTTTGTAACAGGATCGACTTTTTAACTTAATTCAGTTAACTAACCATTTGGCTCCAATTGCCTGAAATCATTAGATTTATTTTACTAAAAGAAGAGATAAACAGATTCGAATTATTCTATTAAAAATATTCATTGCGCTGAACACGCTAATGGCATGGGCTCAATGACAAAATTTACCAAAATAGCCAAGGTTAGTCTTTAAATTTATGTTTAGTTTTTGATAGGCATAATCAAATCGATATTGAAAATTTTTAACCGAGCTCCCCAGTAAATGTTTCCAAGAATAAATTAACTTAAAACAGGAAATGAAGTCGAAGTCGTGAATCCGACTTGACCGAAGAGTGGCATAGCTAAATATGTATATTTATATACGAAGAAAAAATGTATGATTGCCAAAGTATTAGCAGAGAACGTCTATCATAGAGAAGGTTCACGTAGGGGTACTCGGCAGAGATGAGGGAGTTTTACCACAGAAAAATTATAAGCAGCGCTAATGCTCATTGAAATTTTATGRTGACAGACGGCAGACTTGTGCATTTAGACAACTGAGAGTGAATTTTGTTTATTTATTAAAAAGAGGGGAAATAAAAATGAACAAGAGAAATTATTAATAAAAATTTTGGTATTTTTGGAAAATCTATATAAATGTAACAAAAAAATTGGTGAGAAGGCAGCAACATAACAATGACCGGCATGTACACAAGACAACACAGCCAGAGATAAATTTTCTTTTATTCCTGGTATGGCCATGGATAATATGATACGAGACTCTTTGATTCGAGTGAGAGCTGTCAAAACTCGCATTTTTTATAACATTTGTCATTGATGCCACTGCTGAAAAATATTAGATTGGGTTCTCACAAACGTTCATGTAGTAGGATTCACAACGTTGTTTTCAGTTCACTGTCGTGCTGCTGCAGTCTGTCGCGGGCATTGTGTTCCGCGCATCAGAAATTCCCTGATCTTCATCGCTGTCAAATAATCAGGGAACGCGTTTGAGAGAAAAAGAGAGCCAATGCTAAAGTCTCGTATCATATTATCCATGGTATGGCCACAACGAAATTGTGTACATGCACAATGGACAGCTGTGTCAGGAATAAAGGGATGTTTAACTTATTCCAGTGTGAGAGCGCTTCAAAATTTGCGTTTTTTATAACATTTTACATTGTAGCCAGATCAGAAAAAAGCTATTTTTTGGGCATTTTAAATAAAGCACCCAACATTTAGTACGAATAAAA